CTGATCTATATTCCTCCTTTAGAGTTCCTCCAAATCCTAACTATGGCTTTGGCTTCATAGAGAGAACGAATGCCAGGCCAGTCATGAAGCAGACATTCAGTACCAAAAATGCTTCTCTGGGAGTACAAGCATTTAGAATATGCAGTTCTGAAGCACTGTATGATACAATAGGTAGCCACAGCCACATTTGCCAAGTTGAATTCCAATTTCTGGGTCTCGCAATAAACATACATAACTGGTAGTTCTTACTGGACAACACAGAGAGAGCATTTCCATGCCCACAGAAAGGTCTCCCAGAAAGTGCTGCTCTAAAAAGCAACTTGGTGCTCCGTATCAGAGATGGTCCTAGGGTTTCTTATAACACATGAACCTGCTTGTATATTTAAAAAAATTTCAAGTAGTCATAACTCAAACAGTATCATAATGTTCACCAGCAAGACTGGAGGCCAGCAAAAATGTAAAACATGCACACACATCCACTTGAATGCACAACAGACATGCATACACAATATGTACACATGTGCCCCCACCTTCCACGCACACACCATGCTTGCAGACATGCACCACAAAGGTATACACACACACACAACACTATGCATGCATGCATATGTGTGTTCATACACACATAACAGACAGAGACACACACACACACAAGTGCACATAGGCTTGTGTACACTCCTAGGCCTATCTTTTATAACCACAGCATCAAAGGATAAAATGACTTTGTAGGTTGGAAAATACATTTATGAAAGGAAGCAACATTAAAATAATACAGACACTAGTACTGTATCAAATTAGTTTTAAAAAAATAGAAAATACTTTCATGTTGAAATAGATGGGTGTAATTTTCTGCAGAACAATTTAGTGATTTTTATCACAAATTTACATGTGCCTATCCCTTAATTTAAGATTTTCACTTCAATGAATTTGTCCTCTGAAGAATAAATTTACTTCTATACTATGAAATAGATCAGACAGAATTACATAGGTAGAAGTGAATTTATTTTACCTCTTTTTAAAAAATACAATTGATTACACTGTGTTTTAAAAGATATGTTCTTTTTTTAAAATATATTTTATTGATTTTTTTATAGAGAGCTAGAATCATCGATGAGAGAGAAACATCGACCAGCTGCCTCTTGCACACCCCCTACTGGGGATGTACCCGCAACCAAACATGCCCTTGACCGGAATGGAACCTGGGACCTTTCAGTCCGCAGGCCGACGCTCTACCGCGGAGCCAAACCGGTTTCGGCTAAAGATATATTCTTTAGGCAAATAAAATCTTAAAAGCAATTTTGACTTAAAAATTAAGGTTTTCTATCCACCCCCCGTAGAAAATTCAGGGCTGTTTCAGGAATATAAAATTCAAATACATCCAAATATAATGAGAAGATTGCTCTTCAGAGTGGAAAGTGAGGGATGACTGAACATAGCAACATGAATGTCCCCTTTGACAGCTAAGTTTCAGTGTGATGTTACTGATCGGACAGGCCAACGGAAACAATGTAATAAGCACCAGTAGGGCACTGGTTAAATAAATTATGGCACATTATGATACATAAAAGATTGGGACATGGCTTAATAGAAACAAACTGATTCCATCTAGCAATATACATAAAATTATATAGATAAGATACAAGTAGGTGAGCTCGGAAGGAAGGACAGGACAGATATCTATGAGACATTCATCTATTAGTGACATTTCCAGAAATTTTATTTTTTCTTTATTCTCTAAATTACTTGAATTTTTTACAACCAAATTAAAATAAATATTTTAAGTCCTTCTTCCCCCCCCCCCCTTTTTTTTTTAACTAATGACAGTTTTCAGTAACAAGAATGTGAAACAGTGTGGCTCTGAGTGTCAACCCATTAACCTGGAAGTGACAGTTCGAGATCCAGCAAATGCCCAGGTTTCCAGCTCAATTCCCAGTAGGAGGTGTACAGGAGGCAGCAGCTAATTAATGATCCTCTCTCATCAATTGTGTTTCTGTCCCTCCCTCTCCTTCCTTTCTCTGAAATCAATAAAAACATAAAAATCATTTTGGAAAGTGTGAAAAAGAACATGACTCAAATTTTCTTATCAAAATGTTAATCTGATATTCATAGGCTATTTTTCAATAACAATCTACTACATCTATAAAATAACAGCTTAATTTTTTTTTTAGAAAGGCAAACATTCCAAAGAAATATACTGAATTCTGATATTAAGATTATGAAAACTAATAAAATTATGTAAGTTGAGAAAAATTCCTACCATTACCTTCTTAAAATATTTCAGAAATAGTCAGATATTTGAGATAAAGCTGCTTGAGCTTAAGTAACAATAGCTGATGGCTAAGGAGAGAGAACCTATTCTAAGTGACTTTTGAAAATGAATCCTTACATGGTCTCTTATTATTTTTTAAAATTTATTTTTAATTAGAATTGACATGTTCAGTGACTTTTTCAATACGGAGGGGCAGAAGTTATGTAAAAAATAAAATAACCTTCTGATTGCCATAAAATATTAGAAATGTTTTAAATTTGAATTTTAGATAAGAATGGTTGAGGTTCCATCTATTTGCTAAGCCTTCACTAAAATTTTGTTCTGGGCATCTATTTCAAAATTCCTCATTAGCATATCTAATTAGTCTATATTTTCCCCAAACATTAATTAAAAAGAAAAAAGAAAAAGACATTTTTCTGGTTTGGAACCACAGTCCTTAAATTGCAGTCTCTCAGTTCTCTTAGTTTATGAATATTTAAATCTGGTCAGTCACTCGCATGTTAGATTATTTTACAAAATGGCTTTACTTGAAGTTTTGACACTTTGTTAAACAACAACAAAAATCAAGCAAAAAAATTTACCTTAAAGATATTTAAAATTCCATTCAAATTTCAAGGTTATTATTACCTTTTCTCCCAAAAAGAGAAGATAACACTAATCTTTTTCTTGAAAATAACAATTAAAGTACAATAATTCTAACATAGAAAGAACTACTTCTTTGGAAAGTTTAAAACTGAAGTTAAAACTCACCAACCCCATCCCAGAAAAAGGCCTTTTGAGCCTAATCAAAGAGTAGCTCACAGTTTATGAAACAAAAGTGTTAATTTTTAGTTGACTCACAACTTCCTTTTCAGTAAATGTAATTATATCACAATATGAGAATATCTAGACTGACAAAGACAAGTAGAAACCCAGAGGGAAGAAAAGAAAATGAGGATGGAGTAAGCTTAATTCCATTTTGGTTATCATGTTTCTGTGTGAGCCAGTAAAACTCTCTGAAAAAAAATTTTTTTTAAATCATCTGATCAGTAAAGAGTACAGCAAACACATAGAAAATGGAATCTGACAACTAGATGGTAAATTCTAATGGAAGAAATATTTCACATTTTCTTCAGAAGTATACTATTCAATTTCCATTCTTCATGTAAAGAATATGAAACACCAACAATAAAGTTTAACCCATCCTTAAAAATCCTAGTGTTACTGTTTAAATTCTTCACTATGATAATAAGAACCAAATATTAAATATTAAAAAACTATAGCTAAAAAGACACAGGTATATTCAACATTGTATTTCCTAAATTCCTGAGTCAGTATTTGGTCAGTGGCCCCATCTCTTTTATATTTTTATACTGTAATTCTTTTTGTTCTTAAGATCTCATTGTTCTTTACTTACTTTAAATTGTTACCAGAAAACAGGAAATATATTTGTTTATAAAATGCACAAATCAAAATAAAATATGAATATTAAGTGCAGTTCCTATCCCCCAAATACAATAATTTTTTATAGATACATAAATTCTTGGAAGACCTTAAAAAGAAGGTGGTCTATAACTTGAGGCTTGATACTGATATATTCAGTTCTAGGGATTTATTACTACTTATGTAGCATTTAGGCATTTTATTACATCATCATCATCACATTATTTTTTAATACTATCTCAATAGTCTTTTATCTGCCTATGAAATATGTACAGTATGCTGGTAGGATGTGGTACACTTAAAGTAATACAAAACTATAGGTACTCAGAAAAGACTAGAATGTACACTATCTTTTGCTCATCATACTGGCAGAACATGTTTGGCTAAAAACAAAGAAAAATTATGAAGACAAGTATTTTTTTTAAATAATAAATGAATATCTAAAGTTATTCCAATATTATAAAATATATTCACAAACAACTCAGTAATCTAGGTGATCTGCATAGTTCCAAATAAGTATCTTAATAATTTTAAGTACAAAATAATAGAGGTTACTACAATCAAGTAAGTCACTGCTAATCACCATCACTGCCACATGTAATGCAGTATTTAGGTATCGCACATCACTCGTATACACACACATACCACATCCTGCAACCAACAAGCACAGCATGTATAATTTTCAATGGGGAAATAATATGAATGAAAATAATTGTAGAAAATACCTATTTTACCTACCAACCTATTTCATTTTGCTTTAAATTAGAATTCTTTATATACATACAACTGTCCCATCCATCCACCCTCCAAATAAGTTATAAGCAAGAAAAAAAGTAACCCATGATATGAAAAAAAAATAAGGGGGGGGGGGGGGGTAGGGGCAATGTTACATGAATAGAAATGGGAAGCAGATACAGAATGTCTCCAACAATGTGCCTTTTGGCTTTGTTTTCTGAGTAGCAAAGAGGAAACAAGTGAACAGACCTTGGTATGGAAGAGTGTTTCTTAATTCCCAAAGACTATTCATTGAAGGAGTCATACAATCCAGAGGCAAGTGTAAAGTAAGGGAAGAGAGTATATTTTTATATGATTATAACTTTCTAAAATCCGAATCCTGAATATGTCATGTGTTCTGCGGTATCCATTTATGAATGATCTATGTTTATATATCATCATTTCAGCAGATAACCCCCACCCTCCAGTACTTTATCCATCAACCTGGCACGACCACCTGGGGTATCTTTGTGCAGCTATTGTCAATGAACTCCAACCCTCTGACCAGCACATTAAAGCTCATATAGGTACTCACCCTGCAAACTGGGCACTGCCAGTGACTACTGCTGTCTCTAAGCCTGTACTCATCAGACAAACACTTGGAATGATACACACGAAAACACAGGTCACATATCAACACCTCTCCAGGCAAATGGCATTCAAAACAATACCAGTCATGATTTTCTGTTTCCCAGTCCTACAAAAAATACAAAATAATTTCGTATGACATTTTGTCAATATCTGCAATGACTAAGAACAAAATTGAAACTAAAGTCCATCAGAAGTTAGGCATCATAAACAATTTTAGACATTTTAAAACAAGAGGGGAAAATATCTACAAATTTGCTTCTTTAAATTTTAAATCCTTTCCTAAACAATATTAATATTCAAAATATTGATAACAAAACCAGTTCAAAAATAAGTCCAAAGCCAATCGCAATCTAACATTATTTTCAATTTTAAAAACATAGTCTATGGAATGGTTTCTTCAGTAAACTGAATATCCCGAACAAATATCTATACCTTAGTATTTCAAATAAACAAACCTCTGTCTTGTTCTGCTTTTTTAGAAAAATATAGTAAGTACTTAATTAGCTCACTGTGGGAACAGAGAAAATAGTAATAAATGGTGATGCTCACTATTCTTATCTTCTCATCCATGGTATTGGATGCTTTATTGAAAATAACCATTAATCAGAATGTCCATGTTCTGATAGGTTGCCAAAATTTCAGGGTCTGTTGAATTTGGAAAAATAAATTGAAAATGTGAAACTAAAGGTTTAATCACATTCTCCAAAGGACATTGCCATAAAAAAAACTTAAAAGGAAGTAGGTTTATTTTCTTACTTGAACTATTCCTGGAAATAAAAAGAATATAACTGTGGTAGGTTTTCGTCAACATTTTCTTTTTGTTACACTCTTTTTTGTACAGCCAATACCACTTAAACATAAACAGGAAGATGTTATAAGTTCTTTTAATTTAGAATTTATTATTCATAAATGCCACTCTTTGCTTCTGTCAAAAAATACCTGTTAAGAGTGATGGATTCATTCTTAGCTTTCTTTTGTAGATGTGGTAACTAAGTGAACAATGGTTTAACCCACAACAGTGTAATCAAGGCCACTGCCAATGAGAGTCCTGAATTCCAAACTTGGGTTCTACTACCATTTGTCTTTTTATAAATCACTGTTGTTTCTGAAACTGAACCGCTTTCTTATGTCAATTACTCCCTCAATAAATGGGTTTCAAATATAGCACTTGGTTAGCAGGCAGTAACTCCTTTAGCACCTAAGGCTGAAATGTATTAATTACTGCCTGAACATATGACAGGGTTACTACCAACACCTTCAAAAGGGGAAAGAGTCACTAATTTTCCAAAATTCACTTTCAAAGTCATGGCTACAGCACATTAATAAACTTAGCAAAAATGTAAACTTTTTAGTTTATGTTTTGTTCAGAAATCATGGTCTTGATTGACCAAAGCAATAAAGAAAAACATAAACATTTCTAGTTATTTGCTGCAGATGGATATACTCTGTAAACTTACACTGGAGTAATTTTAATCAATCTGCTAAAAAAAAAAATCATAAGATACTGACTGATGAGACATAAAACCCTGATGTGTGCATGGTAAGGAAAAAAACTTATCTCAGCAAGTTTACGTAGAGGCATTGCAGAGACACAATATATGTAGTGGTTGGCTGTACTAAACAATAGTCATTGTGTACCCATTTCACAATGTTCATATGTAAGCTGCATTTTAATATTTATATAAAAATCATTATAAATTAGGTTTGAGTAGAGATAAGATATTCTGCTCTATTTTGAACTAACAGAACTCTTGCCAAGTTTAAAACAAAATATTTCAGATTTTTTTTTTTCATAGTTCAGAAATATCTTAAAGGATTTTGGGGGCTATGTTTAACTCATTATTAACAAAAGAAAGTGCCAACCTTCATCATTTGAAATTTTTTACATTAATTCATTTCCTGCAATTCTTAAAATGGTGGTTACAACGTAAATTAAGAGAAGAAAGCAAGAGTTTAACTTTGGTGCGCAGCTCTAAAACTCTAGCCTTCCCACTTTATCTCTACCCCTTTTCTATTCCTGTTCTCACCCATCCACCCATAAAATGAGATGAAAATGGATCTTTCCTCATTGGGATATTGAGTAGCAGACCAAGTTTTCATAACAATTACAGAAATAAAATATAATTCAAATGAAGTAAAAGTAGAAAAACATTTGTATATACTATTTACATAATGGCATATGACTAACTCCATTATCAGATATAAAAGGTATGGTCTGGGGACATACGTGCTGTTCATTCTTTTAATCATAGCAATAGCTGTTTAGAATATACAAAACACGCAGAGGTCAAGTTCAAAAGTTATTACATTCTAAACCCAGGGCACACTTTTCTGATAATTATATAAGCATGTTTAAGATAGGCAGAGTTGCCTACAATTTCTCTTTTAGTAAATAGAGTTAATTTACATAGTACTCTAATAATAATGTATGCCCAGAAGCTAAGCCTGTATTTCCTGGACTGTACCAGAGTCAGCAACTATTCTCATACAGCCTGATTAGCAGCATAGTATGTGTAAAGCCACTTCAATACTTGAAGAAACTTTTTAAAAAGCAAACCTATTAGCAAAAAATCCCCAACTAGAAGCAAAGTAAAGACAATATGGTGTTAATGAACAATTCTAACACGAGTTAACTAAGCTAGCCTAAAGAAAGATAGAAATGTAGTGTTTTTTTTAAAGCAGATTTAAAGTAAAATAACAGTGCAAAATTAGTTCACCTTGTTTGGGGTTGCTGTCCTGGAGAAAGGCTGCATACTGTAGGCCTTTCAAAATAAAAACAAAATAATCTTGGTCTCTCTACTATAACTTTGCTCAATATCAGGCAATACACAGAGCTAAAGGGATTTCATAGAGGGTCAAACTGTTTTATTTGCTATATGACTTACATTATTTTGCAGATGATATCAACTGATAATCTATGAATGTACTAATCATGAATAAAGACAGTAGCATGCAAATTCAAGAGTCATTACTAGCTTAAAAAGAAACTTTGGATACTAACACAAAAGCTACAAATGGACAGAGAAAATCTTTCTATTTAGAAAGTCATATGCCAGGAAAGCTATCATTATGTTATAAACATTTTAGTAACAAATAAACTCAGTGCCACTATAAATTTCATTAAGACCATGAAAGTGTGTCTTTTTTATCTAAAACTGATCAACTTTTTTAAGTTGGGAGTGATGAATGTAAACATGGTAACATGTAAACATACTTAACCATGGTGTGAAACAGACACAGGATGTCTTCAGAACCTACTAGAAAACATTCCAACATCTAGAAGCAGCCTGCTGCCCTACATCTGTCACCAATTATAACATTTGATTACTCTGGAGTAAAGACTGGCTCAAATCCTGGCTCTAGCACTCACAGGTTGTGTCATCTAGTGCAGAATACTTAGCTTCTCTGTATATTATTTTCTATCTGTAAAGGGAACAAAATAATAGTGCCTGGTATACAGATGTTTTGTAAGGATCAATTAAGTTACTATACTCAGTGAGTTATTAAGATGATCTGCTTGCTATAGTGTACAAAAGAGGAATCGAATCAACAAGTCATAAATGATGTGTAATTAATTATATATGTGTGACTTCTTTAGGACCGTAAGCCCATTATGACAGCTGACTCTCACAATATTTCTATAAGCTAGATGGACCAAGAAATATTAAGTCAGTTTAGAGTAAACACTAAAGCAAGAGAGTTCATGGGAGAACTGGCTATAACAAGGGCCTCCTAAACTATAATCCATGCTCATCATATTCTAGAGGTTCTAATTTTTAAAGTGATTCCCTACTTATACGCAATGAGCAAATAAATCTTAAATTATCAAATATTTCTTTGATGTGTTTTAACATAAATATGACATAAAATTAATTCTCTACAATTCAAGGTTTAGTTTAATGCTGTTAATTTAGTTAATCACTGAGAGGTAAGAATGTAATGATTAAGTATTTGCAATAATTTTAAATAAAAATATTACAACACTGCTAGAGAAAAAGAATTTAGACAGGAGGAAAAGAGCTCTCTCTCAACCACACACACGCACGCACGCACACACACACACAATCACTAAGCTGAAAAGAATAAAACAGAACAGCATAACCCAAAATATTCTACTGAATAAAATAGACATTCTTTACCACAGCACAATAATAATTTCTAGATGTTAGTACATTAAAGTTTGTACATAGAACCATAGCATAACTCATTTTTCATTAATTAAAAATCACCAAATACTTAATACTTTACTTAGTAAATAAACAATAATTTATGTTTGTCTGAGATAGGTAATGGACCTTTGGAAGAAATGTGTAGTTCTGTACATAATTAACCTAAATGTAACGAAACATTTTACTTAAAAAAAAAAAAAAAAAATCAAAGGTACCTGAAGGGGCATCCAGCTTTTTATACTTAGGGTATTAAAAACATGATTAATTTATGACAACTATAATTTATAACAAGGAAAATGAAAAAAACTAATTTTTAAAAAAATCTTACTTTATTTGTGAAGAGCACTGAGAGAGTCAAACTGTTTTGAATTCAGCAGGCTCACAATATTTTTTCAAGAACAAAGCAAGGGGCACTTACTCCCTGCCATGACTGTTTAATGGTGTGATTTCTGAAGAGTAAGACTAAGACATAAGTCCATCCTACCTCTTATCTAAAAGATGAGAGCAGAACTTAGCTAAGTTTCAATAGGTACACAAGCCACAGCTTCTTTTACATTGGTGATTCTGAATTAAGATAAGCAGATGATAACAGAGGAAAAAAATTCTATCTTGCCCCTGAGTAGGTTAAGCTAAATCCATTTATGTCCAATAAAAGATGTTAATCTCTTCAAGAAACCATAAAATATGTATTTTTATTAATTATGCTTCTTAAAAGGTGTCAAAACCTTAAATTAATGAATATAAAAAGCAAAAATATAGATTGAAATCTACCTTTTCTTTTAGGCTTACTTTAAAAGTAGTCTGAGGTCCTGCTTACTGGTGGGACAAGCTTGATTATATGAAAAGTACTCAAACTGAAGCAGGGCATAATAGTCAAGACTATTATGAGCTCATGTTTGCAGTTGCTCTTGCTTCTAACTGAAAATGCAAGCTGTGGTTCCTACAATGACACATTGTTTTTGAAGTAGTATTAAGTATGAGAAAAGAAATGAGGCCATGAGTTGGAATTTGACAGGTTAAATAAAGGGAGTAGTAGTTTCATAGCAAACATCATTTTTTAAGACTTTTAAATCATCCTCTATTCTGATGATCAAATTGTTTAATGTCAGATCAAAAGTATTTGTCAAATAATAGGGTAGAGTCATAGCTTTGTGCCAGGAACCGTGAATACATTTGGAAATCATCCTACTAGTATTAACTTCCTCTAATTCAAAATACATTATTTGACAAGTAACATTAAATACCTTTGAAAGACCGTTCTACCTTTAGTGAGCCCTTAACTCATAAGAAATTAAGTTTATTACTAAATGCCAAACTTAATTTAGCCCAAGTAAATGGTAAAATTCTGCCCAAGAAATGTATTTCTTAAGTTGTTAGACTAAAAGACACTTAATACTGTGATCAAATGTGGATTAAATATAGTCATTCATATATATTTATTTCTTTAGAGAAAGCAGATAGTAAAGCAATCTATCAGAACTTGTAATTCTTTATTAAAAATCAAAAGGAAAAAAACTTGATATAATAAAATATTAAATGGTCATATCAGAAAGTTTCCTTCTGTGCCCTAGTCTACTGGCCTTTTACAAATATAATTTCAAACATTATGAAAACCATCTCTGAAATCATTATTTGGATCTGATTAATGAATATTAATAACATACAAATCTGGAAGTCCACAGAAAATTTATAAGAGGTCCCAGGTTCAGCAAGTTTGTAATTTTAAAAATTGGTTGGTACGTATACTTTTCCTTGTTTATTGACTAATGTTTAAGCAAACTATTTAAATTGAGAGTGCCTTCATTTTTAATATTTACATTTTCATTCTACTATCTCCAACAAGCATATTCAAAATATCACTACAAAGATGCTTATCTCTTGCCTAATTTTATCAGTTTTTACAAAAGAATTATCACTTCAATAGGGCTACAAATGGTAGTAGAGACTAACATCTCAACTTGTCTAAAAAGCATTCCAGTCTAAAAGGATAAAGCCATCATCCTTGACTTATACAGGTGTCTTCCTCTTGAACAGATTATATATAATTATAACCTGACCTATTATTAGAATTAAACTTATAATATTGCTGGATTTAATAAAAATAATTTTGCTTCAGCCATAGATATGTTTTCAATTGAACCAAGTTTTAAAAATCAGCATTATGGCAGGGGAGGTAGCAGAGGTGAAATAAAAATGTGACACCAATGAATTCTTTGCTCAACTATAGTTGAGTGGCATAAAGAAAACTGCACTCTTGCCTACCTAGTCTTTCTTACCATAATGTGAAAAGAAAGGACAAGGAGAATATAGCCTCTTTGCTAATACAAGTATCTCTTGAGGATGTAACTTGTGGGACTTATCAAGAGAAATCAACTTTTCCACATCTCTGAGATATTATTTTTAGAGGCTATTTTAGAAGGAAAAGAAGTGCTTTATACCCACTTTTCAAATAACAGAATTTCCCTGGGTGAAGAATATTTGCAACTTTGAATTAAAAATAAATAACCAAAACATTCTATACAGCTCACATATATACAGATACATAAAGATATATTTAAGTATCTACTTGACTTTTTTCTTTTGATATTGAGTCAGTTGACAAGATGAATAATACTATAAACCTTTCAAATTAAAAAGTCAAGTTTTCAGAGGCCACATATTATATATAAGGTAGAGAAACTATAAAGGAAGGTTCTAGACTCAAATGCCAGCCTACAGGGCTATCACTAGCCCAGAGTTCCTTTGTGCAAATCAGAAAAGGTGACCCTTCCCTAAGACAGGTTTTGCTAGAATAAGACACTTACCTGCCATAAATTAGAAAACTGCTGAATAAACATACAAGCATATGATGTCTGAGAACTGAGTGTGACTTCCTAAGTTGTGTAGTTGGCAATTGGCCCCATACAGTAGCTCACACGCATGGGCCCCACAGCCCATAAACAAAGAGCTGGCAAGTGTGAGATGATTGTGTTGTGCCAAGTGTGACACAGTAATGTGTCCTTCTAGAGTATACTAGGGCATGACAACTGCAGCACATGACAGCCTCTGGGTAGCCAGGTGATATACCAGCCACAGTTATGAGATACAAATATAATTAATCACTTTATAGTTAAGCCTTAAATACAGATCCAGTGACTGTCTATTATACTAGTACATATAAGACCTTACCTCTTTCTGCTACCTTTGAATTTTTAATATTTGCATATTTTTATAAACTAGGCACAACTTTTATATACTCATTTATACTTACATCATACATGCATACTCAGTATAAAAATGTGAATAAGAACCAACATGAATTAATAAAATCTGTATACTGGTTGGTTGATTTACATATAAGATTTCATCTAGAAAAAAAGAAAAGGATGGTGCTATAAATATATGCAGTAAAGTACATGTAAAAAAAAAAAAAAAGAATACATAACCTAATGCAGTGGTAAGCATAACTCATTAACTGCTCATTTAAGTAAATTGAACATGGAAACTTCAAACTGAAGAGGAAGAATGCATGTGGGAAAAGCACAAATCTAAAAAATAAGAAGAACTAAAATCACTTTTTCATTTTTATGGGGGAGAAAAAAAAAGATTCACAAACCAAAATCCTGTGGATTAAAGTGTACTTACTACTGGTTAATTACTATATAAATCTCAGAAATCATCAGGATAGCATTCTATATTAAATATGTACATTTCCAAATATTTGGAGATTAGAAATTTTATATTAACTGGATTATTCTGAGTATATAATAAGCTATCAATTATCAATGGCCCTCCTGTTAACCCAGGATGTAAACAAATATTATTATGACTTGGCGTCTGGAGTTTCTTTACTGGAAACAAAACTGTACTTTTTTATATGGAAGTCAACAGAAAAATTATTCTGATATAAACATTCTTTACTTAAGTTTATAAGAACACTTCTAGTGTGCAAATTAAATGATACCAGAGAAAATAAACACTTTTTTCTTCTAAGTTTTATTTGTAGAAAATGTGAATTTTATTTTCTGAAACTTTGAAGGCATAAATTAAAATGACAAAAACAATGTTAAAATTGAACAAGTTTGTAACTCATAGCTGCCTCTGTGGCCCAGCCCTCCACAGGGGATGAGCTATGAGTCTACTGCACAGAGCTGACTACTGAGAAATGTGTTACTGGCTCACCTGATGTAGAGCCAGAAAGGAAAATACAACTCAAAGGTTTTGGGAAATGTTTCCACAAAGAACCAATTTTAAGATCTTGTGTCATTTTTTATAACATTAAATTTTAGAGAATTCATGATATAAACACTCTCAAAATACTTAATTATGAAATCCATTCCTTTCAGAAACTAAAATAACTCACTCCTATTAAATTTGAAACATATTTTCTTAAATGATATTGTTGCAAAAAGTAGACCTTTAAAATCAAGGTGTTAGAAATATCAAAAACAAATGAGGTAGGAAGATGGAAATTTCACACCAAATCAGTCTTTACATAAGAAAAATATTGTACTTCTTACATGACCCTGAATATAAAATTATATATTACAAAGAAAAATATTAAAATGTAACTTAATAACTAAGTAAAAATATTAAAAAATTAACTATCTTTACTATGATTTCTGTCAAATCTGCCACAAAACACACTCAAGTCACAGAAATCAATAAAGACACTAGCCAGAGGCGTCTAACATTTGGAACCTTGTCACCTGCAAACCCTCCTGAAGCATGGCTCTGGGCTCTGACATCATCCAACCTGAGTAAAGTATGTCCCTGAAAAGCCAGACTATTCCTTCCAAGCTGTCAATACGGCATCAACATTATCCTCCACTGAAACATTTTTTACTAATATTTATTAAAAGAAAATACTTAGAAGTACAGTGAATTTTGTGTACAATAAAAGGGTTTTGCTTGTTTTGTTTAAATGTTTTAGATTCAAGGTAAACTACACAGAAAAGGCAGGCTCCTTATAAAAGTGAGTTTTCTCCTACTAAAGAAACACAGAGGGAAATATCCACCCTACCAATGTAGGTCCTTAATGTTAGTAAAAAATGTTAAAGAGAAACATTACTAAACTGATGAAAATGAGTTTCTAAAGGTTGTAGTTAAATACTGTTTAAAAGTTAAAAGTCAGCTTATCCAAATTTATCAAATAAAACATACTTACAATTTCATCTCCTGGCAACCAATATCCTTCTTGTTCAATACCAGCTTTTGAACCTTTGCAGCCCACAGTGAGAGTTTCAACAATAAGACCATCTTTCACAGCCAAGCTCAGCTGACGGGTGGTCTCTTTTGGATGCATACCGTGGACTCGAGACATGTACCTGAACACAGAGAAAAAACAAACTTAAAATTCTTTTAGTAAAAAACATAAAAATGCATAGCAATAAGAAAATAGAGATAATTTATTTCTCTTTTATTATTACTTGTACTCCTCAGAGCCCTGCTGAAAGGACAGGAGTTCTGAATACTTTTCCAATTATCACGGTATTTTAAACCTCAATCTTATTTTTGTATAGTTAGAGGAATATCTGTTTAAAATAATATCAAACCAGCAATACAAATCACTTAACAGGTTTTAGTCTTACATCCTATGTACTTTTAGTCTCTGGAGCAATTATCACTAACATCCACTGTACAGAGTCTAAACTTATTAGAATTTTATAATTTCCACCCATAAAACTTTAGAATATAAAATGCTTTTATACAAAACTTAGGAAATGATGCCAAACAAAACATAGAAATCACATGAGTGGTTCTCAACATCTAAAGAAAACAACAATGCATGTTGTGATTAATAAAGCAAAAACTAATTTTCAATAAATTATAGTCTGGACTGGATCACTAAAGTATACAAGCTCTCCCTGATTTAAGTTATGTAGCATTTTTTTAAATGTAAAAAAAATGTAATATTTCAAATATACTTCAGACCATAGAGAATAATACTGGAGATTCCCATGTATTCACCAATTATATCAAACTCATGTTAATATTTTGACATATTTGCTTCATATCTTTCCTTTTTTGTATTTTGTAAGGAAATAAAATGTTATAGATACTGGTGAAATTTGTACCATATTCCATTCCCCGGCAATCAAACCCTTTACCAGTAAACTACTTGAATCAGAGTCTGTTGGGGATCCAAAAACAAAAACACCATGACACAAATCAGGCCAGAGAAACATTCTAAGTTGGAAGAACCGAGGCCAATGCCTACATATCTCAAGAAAATTAAGTAAAACAAGATTTGTATCAACTTATCTGTCATTTAAACATTAGCATTCCAAACAAATCATCACTGAAGAACTCTATAAACTCAATAAGAGGAAAAATTTCAACAACAAAAAAGCAGTAAGCCCCATCATTGTTTGCAGTTTATAGAAGCCGAGAGGCCCAGTGCATGAAATTTGTTCATGGGGTAGGGTCTCTAGGCCTGGCCTGCAATCAGAGATGATCGGGGCCTTCCGACTGCCAGCCGGGGCCTTCCTTTGTTCCATGCCTACCCCTGGTGGTCAGGGCATGTCACAGTTAGCAATCGAACTCCCGGTCTCCTGGTCAAACTCCCAAGAGGCACTTTGCCTATTAGCCTTTTATATATATAGGTAACAAAATATCTGGTTTCTCTACAAATGCAGTTAATTGAAGGGCTGAGAAGAAAGAGACATGAAATTATGGTGAACCCTACAGGGGCCCTGACAAATCAGATTTGCAGTAATAACCAATGGGATCACAAGATGATGGTGAAGTTAATCTACAAATACTGATTGTCTAATAATCTGGCTAAGGTGACTAATAATCTAAGGTGATAAATAATCTAAGGTGATAAATCACATGTATATTTTGATAAACATCAACACTAATAAAAATAATCAACTGTAGTTTTGAATGAGAAAAAATTAAGCCAAAATGAAAATGTGCTAATGTCCTCCCTGTTCACCATAGGGAGCTATTAGACATTATCATAGGAATTAAGTATAATATACGAACTTATAAAGACAGCCTTTAGAACGAAAATTCAAAACTTCCAAATTATCTGAAGAAACCCATAAAAAAACACATTATGCAGTAAAATTAAAACAAAAAAGAAACAATAAAAATAAGCAGCATATTAAATAGGAGAGGACCAAAACCAAGTAAATTTGTCCTTCTAATAAATACAAATTAACCAAACTCAATAATTAAAAACATACTAAATCACAAAACAAAAATTTCACTGTCTACAAGAGACACACTTATAGTGACAGAAATACTGAAAAAGAATAAGCAAAGACATATCATAAAAATACAATCCAGCCAAAACCGGTTTGGCTCAATGGATAGAGCGTCAGCTTGGGGACTGAAAGATCCCGAGTTCAATTCCGGTCAAGGGCACGTACCTTGGTTGCGGGCATATCCCCAGTAGGGGTGTGCAAGAGGCAGCTGATTGATGACTCTCTCTCATTGATGTTTCTAACTCTGTATCTCTCTCCCTTCCTCTCCGTACAAAATCAATAAAAATATATTTAAAAAAATACAACCCAAATAAATCAGGGATCAACACTGTAATTGGGCAAAAATTATATATAAAAAAGGCACATAGGGCACAGACAGTTTTAAAGCAAAACCTGTAATAAATAGAGAATGCTAACAGGAATAAAGGATTATGAGAGTTTAATTCATTCTCTCTGTTCACAAAAACATTAAGTGAACAAAATTAAGTATGGATATAGGAGACCTTTAATTAAGTTTATTAATTAACAAAACGGATCTAGTTGAATTTATTCTAAAATCCCAAAAGTATCTTCAATAAATCCAAGAATCAGTCATTAAAATGGGGCATAAAATCAGCCACAAAATGACCTTAATAGATTTCAAAATAGACATTTGCTAGTCACTATGAAATAAAACCAGGTATTAATAGCAAAAATGGAAAACTTACATAAACAATTGAATCAGAGAGACTTTTTTTAATTACAAAAACAATAATTAAAAAACTAAAGCAGTGTTAGTTGAAGAGCAAAAATTATAGAACAATATTAATCCAAGAGGTTCTTCTTAGGAAAGATTTAGAGATTATCATTAGCTAATCTAATCAACGATGAAGAAACAAAGCACAAAAACATACAAACTAAAAAATGTATTAACACCCATATGTAAAAAGGAAATTAAAATACTAGTCATAAGCAACTACTATGTTAAATTCTGTGCAGAAATAGAATTTCTAGTAAAAAATAAATGACCAAACCTTGCCCACAGAAAAAAAATGGAAAACTTAAAAGAGACAATTTACAAAGAAACAGAGGATGTTGACTAAGGGCTTTGCCAGAAAAACTCAAGGTAGAAACATATTCACAAGGTAATTCTATCAAACTTTTAATGACCAGACAACTCCAATGTGATTTAAACTCTTCCAATACATAGTAAAGAAGGAATGCAAGAAATCTAGCATGATAGTGGTAAGAAAACCCCACAAAAAAGGCACAGAAAAAGAAAACTAGTGTCCCATAGGAATACTGGTATAAAAAATATCAAATGAAGTATTTAAATTTATAGTACAATGTTAAGTATTAACATAAATTAATAAATATTAATACATTCAAATATCAAAAGAATGTACTATAACCGAATGTTTAGTTTCAGGGTTTCTAGGAATACTTATTTTAAAAAATCTAGAAATATAATTCATCTCATTAATACATCAGAAGTGAGAAATCATTAAGATTTCTATACTTGTGGAGAAGGTATTTAGTAAAATTCAATATCCAGCCTCTAATAAATAGGAATGAGTAAAGAATACTTAACTGATCAAGAATATTCAAAGATGTCTTTTAACACTCTGCCAAAGGTAACCAACATAGGTAAAATAAATATGGCATAAAATTTGTTTAGAAGCTAAAATTATTTTTGCAGATCACATATCAAGAAAATCAGCTGATGGGCTATTTTAAATAATCAAATAATCTAGTCAATTATTTGTTTGAGTACATAGTAAAAATTAACAACATGCATTATACAAATAAAAAAACTAGTTAAAAGGTTTAAAATAAGACCCCAATCATTTACAAAAACAGTAAGAAAAATAAAATACCCAGTAAAAAATAGAAGATATGACACAATCTGTGTAAAGAAAAATCTAAAATTTTGACACAAAAGATTAACAAATGGAAAGTCATGCCTGTATTTAGATGAAAAACAACAAAATTCAATTGCCTGTAAGATTAAATAAATACCACCACAAAGTACGCAAGTTGATTCTAAAGTTCTATAGGGAATTTAAACAAGAACTTCCCAAGACAATTCTTTATGAGTAATATCATATTGAAAAACATTATAGTACCAAAGTAATTAAAATATTGTGGAATTAGTGCATGGAGAACTGACCAATGGAACAAAACAAAAAAGTCAGGAGAAGACCCAATTATACATTTCAATTATAATAAAAGTGGAATTTCAAATTATAGGTGAAAAGACTTGTTAATCAACTCATGGGAATTGAGACATCGAGCTCACTAACTTGAAAAAAATAAAGATGGAATCCTACCCTCGTCTGTACCCACAAATAAATGTCAGATTTACTGGAGGATTGGGCTTGACTGGAAATACATCACTGGTGAGATGAATTTAGTAGTACTCCTAGAGAGGCAAGTGTGGTAGTATCACAATTCCTCTCCTAGATATTCATCCTATAGATATACTTAGATATGTTTGAAATAATAGACAAAGTAGGAAATTCATTTTAACATCATTGCTAGCAAGAAAAGATTAGAAACAATCTAAATATGTATCTTAGGGGACTTGCTAATTTATAATATAACCATACCAAGGATTACATAATCATTCATGAAATGGAGCAATATTATTAATGTTATAGTGACAAAAGTCCAAGGTAGATTATGGTGAAAAAATCATGGTACTAGGGCTAATATTCAAAACTAGAGGTCTGGTACATGAAATACATGTAGAAGGGAGGGGGTGGAGGTCAGGCAGGAGGAGACAGGTATGTCCCTCAGCCCAGCCTGAACCCTCTCGTAATCAGGGACCCTTTGGGGGATGTCCGACTGTTGGTTTAGGCCCAATCCCACAGGATCATCCATCTTGCAATCCAGGACCACTGGCTCACCTGCCTGCCTGCCTGATCGCCCCTAACCCTTCTGCCTGCCTACCTGATGACCCCTAACTGCTTGCCTGCCTGACTCATTGCCCCTAACCGCTAACCTGCCTGCCTGATTGCCCCTAACCACCTCTGTCTCAGCCCCTGCCATAGTGGCTTCATCTGGAAGGATGTCTGGAATGACGTCCAGAAGATTGTTCAACTGTCCGGTCTAATTAGCATATTACACTTTTA